GTTGGAAGTGTCAAGTGGCAACACTTTCTCATCACCCCCCGTAGGTAAAAATAAGCATTTTCTCAACCTTTCTGGGTCAGCGCGCTGGCTCTGAGGGCAGCATGGCAGGCGATGGGTGACTTTGGGCCAGCTCAGACTAGCTGTTCTTCCCACCCTCCCCCTCCATCTCCAGCTTCCAAGAAGAGCTGGAAGACGCAGTGATCGCCGAGGGAGCCTTCAGGAGCTGTCTTCTCGGGTATGTGCGGCACGGCTAGTCCACTCCAGCTGCAGCCTAGATGCAGGATGAGCAATTCGTATGCTTGGGAGATAACAGATTGTCACAAGAAAGAAGTAGAACATGGGACCCAGAGATGCACAGAAAGTCTGTAGCTTCTGTAGGAAAGGCAGCGGTGGTGACAGTAAAATCAGAGACAAGGACAGCATGGATCAAGAGAAATCAGCAGCTGCAGAGCTGATCCCTTGCTTTGTGGTTCAAGGAAAGAGGAAATCTGGAGGTGTCACCTGAAGAAAAGACAACAAAACACCCTGAGGGACTGTGGTCAGAGCTGAACAAACGCCTGCAGGTCATATGTGGAAAAAGATGAGGAAGTGCTCCAGCCTCCTTCCCACAGGGGATGCTAAGTAAAAACAACACCAATGCCTAAACTAAGTACAATACAGGAATTAGCAAAGGCTTCAAAAATATTTTGCTTCACCATCGCTGGCCAGCCAAGCAGACTCTGCAGAAACCCAGTGGATTGCCTGTCAGATGGGCTCTGACTGGGAGGGAGCGAGGTGGCAGCCAGAGAAATCGCTTGTCCTCTGGGCCAAGACGGTGGATCTACCCCGCCAGCCTGAAGTCAAAAGAGGGAACTTCACACACGATGTTTCGACAACGCTGGGCACCCAAGGCAGGGTGGGGTAGGCACTGAGATCAGGCTGGAGAGCAACCACGAGGACACTGGAGAGCAGGCCATGAGGATTCAAGTGGAAACTGACGTGGCCGGAGCTAAAGGGAGGGGCAAATCTGCCACAGAGGCGCTCAAGATCGCCGGCTTGTCCTTGTGAGAAAGGCTGGCTGAGTTATCTCCAAGGAGCAGTGACAGCTGGCTCCAGAATCTGTGCTCTGCGGCCCCTCAGCCTCCCTGGGGCCCCTTTCTTCTCCAGGTTTTGGGAGGGTGGAGAGCATGGGCCACACCAGCAAGATGAGTCTCGGGCTCAGCAGACAACTGTCAGGCACGGGGCGCCAGGGTCATCTCCCAGCTGCGGCTCACTGACCACGGCTGGACGGGGCCTGGGGACCCTGCGGCACCTGCAGCGGCCCTACCGGCACCCCTCCAGCCCACTGTCTCTCCTGATGACAGACCATCTTTCTAGAGGACAGGGTCTTGGCTCGGCTCCAGGCCAAATCATTAATGTCAACTAAAACACACTTTATACGACAAATGCAATGAGGTGAAGGCTCAAACTTGCTGTTTTCTTGTACTTGTAACTTCACAGACATTTCTAGGGCTTTCGAGTTCGTTCCTGCTGTGGCCTGGGTCTGGGCATCCCTCCAGGGCCGAACGTTAAAGGCCTGCTCCCCAGGTGGCTGTTGGAAGGTGGCGCCATCTTTGGCAGGCAGGGTCTTGTGGGAAATCCTCAGGCCCCTGGGGGCTCCCCTTAAAGGAACTGGGGACCCTGGCCCCTCACTCCTCCTCTCTTTGCTTCCTAGCCCTGGGTGAGAGGTTCAATCCAAAACAACGCTCCCACCTCGATGTGCTCCCTCACCACAGGTCCCAAAGCAGTGAGGCCAGCAGACCATGGAGCCAAAATAAACCTTTTCTTTTGCTAAGTTAACTGCCTCAGGTATTTTGTTACAGTGATGAAAAGCCAACTAACATTTTTCTTCACATAATGGTCTACTTTTTTTTTCTTAATTGGCTCAGTCTGGTGGATTTTGTCTCAAAAGCAGGCCACATGCCTGCATCAGGACATCCCCTCCTTCCCAACCACAATGGGCTGGTCCAGGCTCCAGGGGCTCTTCCTCTGCAAAGGGGCCTGGCCTTCCTGGGCAGCCATATATTGCTTGAACTTCTGGGAGTAAAAGACAATCTACCCTTTGGCATTCAACCACACTTATTATTAAAAGAGCATTGCGTTACAGGAGAAAACTCCACAATGTGTCTTAGGAGTCAAAGATCCAAGGCGGCTCTGGCAGAGAAAACCCTGCCTCAGGCACGCTCCCTGGAGACAGGGTAATCAACTCAACTCCAGCAAGTAAAGTGAGCAGCAGTGTTCCATCTACAGATGATGCATCTGATGGAAGAGGCTCACTGTTCCCCTGTGCCAGCGGACACGAGGGCGTGACATGCCTCTCACTGCTGTACATTGGTTTGGTTTTCCACGTAGGTAAATAGTCTCAAAAAGAGTATGATGGATCCATGTGACATGAAGTGGACTGTATCATTCCACCCTAAGAGAGGAGGGTGAATAGGGCCTGACCAGGGAAGTCTGACCAGAAACCCAGTACAACATACTGTGCGCCTTCAAGAATAACAGGAGTTATAGGTGGGTCATTGTATGGACAAACAAATGGGGGAAGTTCTTGACACTGTACTGTAATCCACCCAGGAGAGGGGTGGGTGACTCCAGTTTATAACACATTGTCACTCATGGTCAGGGCAAAGCCTTTCCCTTAGGAATAAACTATTTCCTTTATTCAACAGTATTCATGAAACATATGCCATGTGCCTGGTAGTGTCCCAGAGAGTAGGAACACAATACTGAACAAAACAAAGATCTTTGCTCTTACAAAGTTCACCCTCTCGCAGGATCAGATGGGCAGTAAGTGACACAATAAATAAGTAATTGACATGCTCTGATCGAAAATGGTATGTGCTGTGGGAAACCTGATAAAAGGCTGCCAACAGTGAGATGTAAACCAATGCAGATTCCAGAATGAGAATGTCGGAGAGCCAGGAAACAGCTTTCAGCTGGAACCACACAGCTGGCTGTGTAGAAGTCACTCACTTCTAAGCCACCAGGCAAATGCACATGAAAGTGAACGCACTTATGAGGACAGACAGAGACTTGGAAAGACTCGTTCTGTTTCAGTGATTTTAGCATTCGGAATAGTTTAACCGTTCACTAAGCCCAGCCTTTGGACAATCTGAGAGGGACATTGCTTAGTCATTGACTACAACCAAAACAGAATTTCTTTTTCTCTTCAAATGAAAACCAAGCAGCTTTAAACAGATCCTAAGTTTAAATTCTGGAAAACTCTGCCAAACTTGAGGAAGGTCTGTGTCAGCTCTTGTTGGATGTAATGTTGACAGAAATGCAGAGAGAAAAGCCCCTTCTCCGGCACCTTCTAGGCCACCTACTAAAGTGGGCTCCGTGTCCCCAGAGCCCCTGATGACTGTCACTCGCTCCATGACCCTCAACTATCTGAGCCGTGAGCCCCTTGACAGCAGGACCTGCATTTCATGTGTTGAGTTCTTGGAATCTAGCTCAGCTCCCACCGTATAATAATCAGGGTTTTTTTCTTTTTTTTTTTTTTACTGGGGATGGAACTCAGGACCTTGCTCTTGCCAGGCAGGCGGCAGAACCACTGAGCTACATCCCCGGCCCGAATCGATTTTAAAATTTGTAAAGAATGAATAAATTAGCCAGGCCGGGTGGTGCAAACCAAGCACCCTGGAAGGCTGAGGCAGCAGGGTCACAGGCTGAAGTGCACGCTGGGCAAGTTAGCAACTTAGCGAGACTCTGTCTCAAAACTTAAAACGAGAAATTTGAAAGAAATCGGAATGGATGCAGCCCTCTGTGAAGGTCTTGGGTACAATTCCCAGTGCCTCGAAGTAGGAGGAGGAGGAGGAAGAGGAAAAGGAGAAGGAGCAGCAAGAGGAGGAAGAGCAGAAGGAAGAGGAGGAAGAGGAGAAGGAAGAGGCGGAGGAGGGGAAGGAAGAGGCAGAGGAGGAGGAAGGGAAAGAAGTGAATGTTCTGCAGTGCTGCCAGAACTACATTCAGCGCGAGGGGTGATAGAACCGAGGGGCCATAGGGAGTTGGAATTCTTGTTCAATAGAAATAGATGCATAATATATGCAGCCTTTGCGTCTCAGTTCTTTAAATCTCTGGTTTTAAAGGTGATTTCTTCCCCCTATGGAGTCCATGCCCGCTCACTTGTGAACAGGAAACACTTCCATTCTCAACACTGAGCCTCGCAAGACCTCCATCCTCAACATTAACGGCAGCAGACAGACGGTCCCAGCAGGCGGGCGCAGCACCCCGTTTGCAACAGCAAGCGCGGTGCTCCAGTGCAGTCGAGGATGGGGGGGGGGGGCGGCTGGAGCTCAGCTGGTCCCTGTCATCACCTCGGCGGTGCGTGGAGGGCATCTGTCTGTCCACCTCGGAGCCTTCCGCCTGGTTCGTCTGGCGGGATTCCTGCTTGGACTCGCCCGGATGCAGTGGGGCCACCCAGAGCCTCCTCCGGGCTCAGCCGCTATGCCCGAGGTCACAGCCCTCCTCCTGGGCAGCTGCTGTGAGAGCTGGCCGTGCGGGCACAAAGCTGGCCCCTCTGGCCTTGGCTGGGCGTCTTAGGGCCCTCTCGAGCCCGGAGCTCCCTGTGGGACGGAGGAGGGCTTGTGCTGTGTAAGCACCCTGGCTTTACCTCTGCTGGACGGCACTGCGAGGCCAGTGCTCTGCTGCCGTCCTCACGGGCGGTGCCTGGCAGGCCCTGGCCCGCACACCGCCAGCGCACCCCGCTCCGGCTGCCTGCTTTCCTGGAGCTTGTCCTGTGAAAGCTGCTGCCTGCCCTCCAGGCCCTCCCCAGGGCGAGGGCCAGCTCCAGCTCCTACCTGGCCAGTGTGGCTGGGGACCAGAGCCCTCCGGAAGACCTTGCGTCCCTGTCCGCTCCAACTCCCCACCCTCTAGCAGATGCGCCAGCACACCGCCTGTAAAAATGACGCCCTTCCGGGAAATGCCGCCCTGCACCCCACTTTGCAATGGAACTGGACAGTCGAGCCCTTCAGATAGGGATTTGATTTATGGGGTGCCTGTTTGGGGTTTGATCAGCATTCTGGATTAACATGAATTATTACTGAATTTGTAGTATTTGCTTAGCTCATTCCAAGATTTTCTTCCTCCTCCCCTAGTGACTATTTCTTCACCAAGCCTCCAGGGCCGTAAAGCCAGCCTTTCCCCTGCTGTGCATGGGTGTGTACAGGTGTGTAACCCAGGGACTCTGATCTTCTCAGAGAACATCTCCCCACCCCAGACATCTGAAGAGCTCTCATTCTGTCACTGGGGAAGCAACGAATGCACTCTGACATACACAAAATATATGAATAAGGAACCTAAGATATCAAGGTTTCCTCATTTACAGAAGGTGCTTGGTAAATAAGACAGGTCAAACCCTTTGGCCCAATTCCAGTTTTAGGGGCTTATGAGACAAAAGAACTAAGGTAATATGCATTATAACATTTGCTGCCACATTGTTTCGTGTTAATGACATACTTTTTAAAAACTTACAGAGATTAGTCCATCAATACAAGACTGGATAAATCCTACAATAATACACTGATAAAATCAGGCTGCCATGAAAAGTACACTTATTAATATCGAAAGAGGTTTACAAAATAAAGCTGAATTTTAGAAACCAAATTATTAAACAATGCAAAAGCTACAGTGCATTTATATGAAATATATTTGGCATAGACAGAAAAATAGCTAGAAAGAAAAATCAACATGTTACCAGTGATTTTCTCCTATTGGTAGAATTTAGAGTGACACGTTTTTCAGAATTGAATTTTTAAGATATAGTTTCAAGAACAATAAAATTATTCTATTTTGAATTCTTCCTCAAAACAGTCCTACTACCCTCCTGCCGTTTTTCCATTCTCCTGTCCTTTTTGACATCTTTTCAAAAGAAAACTCAAACCCATGTTCATAGCAGAGTTATTCACAATAGGGAGAAGGTGGGAGTAACCTGAGTGTCAATCAACAGATGAATGGATAAACCCAGTGGGGAATACATTATATACACTGTGGAATATTACTTAGCTCTAAAAAGGAAATAAGTCTTAACACACACTACCAGGTGGATAAACCTTGAGGATGTCACACTAATGCAATAAGCCAGTATCAGATGGACAAATACCCTCTAATTGATATATGAGGACTCAGAGTCCCAAAGACAGGAAGTAGAATGGAGGTTGCCAGTAACTGGGGTGGGGGGTCATTGTTTAAAGGTACAGAATTTCAGTTTTGCAAGATAAAAGGAGAGAGAGAAGAGGTGGTGACAGTTACACAGCGTGAGTGTCCTCTTCAGGCCATTGACGTGTACTCTTAAAATGGTTAAAATGGTAACTTTTATGTGGATTTCACGAAATTAAAAAATTTCAGCAAAATAAGAAGAACGCTTGAGTGTGTAACTGTACATCTCATAGGAGGCCCCGGGAGCTCCCCAGTTGGGGGGCGGCGGGGGGGAGAAGATGTAACCCACCTTCTGCATCTCAGAGGAAACGTTCTGTGGCTGCTTCTCAGGTCCCAGAGGACACAGGCACAGCAAGAGCTTTGCAAGCCGTGTGAAGAGAGGAAAAACAACAGAGAGCAAGGAAGGAGGCAAAAATCAGCCCAGGGAAGTGAAAGGCGATGAGAATTCATCCACCCAGGATCACTGCCATGTGCTTTCGTCCACAGGTAAGGAAGTGCCCCTCTCATCCACAAGAGACAGATGACAATAGCGACAGCTCACAGCAGTGCTCCCCACACTGCCTGTTCTGGGGGTCATTCTCCACTCTGAATTCATGCAGGATGATGGGCAAACCCGACAGGGGGGCAACTACACTGTAAAGATCCACAGCATGTCACTGATGCTCTTAGGTTTATGCCCAAGGGGGGGAATTTCATATTTAAGGAGACCGCTGGGAAAAACGGAGCATAAAGGCAGACGATCTAAACGCTGTGGATGAACATTAGAAAAACCCACTTGATGTCAAACGCCAGGAAGCTGGCAGAAGAGCTGGCAGCAAAGGTGGCACAACCCCGCCCTGGCACTATGAGGGCCCTGCCTGCTGGGCAGCACCAGCTCCGCGAAATCTGCCACTCTCACCTACACTGGCACAAGAATCACCTAAATGACCCTTCTATGTCTTTTTCCCTCCTGCTGCTTCTAAAGCAAAAATCTGTTCTGACTTCAAGAGCAATTTGAACCTACTGACCTCAGATGATTATTGTTTCCCCCAACAGTCAGTTGGCGCTTCCTGTCGGCCTGGGAAAGAGATAAAGTAAGAGCAAACTGAAGAAAGATTTGGAGTTGAGTCAAACTGGAGTCACTACCATAGTATCTCAGTGTTGTGAAGATATGAGAGAACTCAGTGGCCTGTACAGCTCCACGATTTCCCTACAGACCTTAGCTTTTGCTCATAGCAGGTTCTAGGCAAGACCAGATGTGTGAGAGCCATTACAGAACAAACAGGAACATTCAGAATTCAGCTTAAAGTAGCAATGTAAGTTACTGAGAAAAATGTACAAGAGAGTGACATAAGTGTACTAAACTTTGCCTTGTTCATTTAATCCTACTAAGATTTTTACATCTTTTCTATAACATCTTGATTCCTTCTCTGGCTCACACTGCAGCAGCAACTCCTGACTTGCTCAAGAACTCAGCAGGGTTGGGCTGGGGATTTAGCTCAGCGATTTCACCGCCTGCCCCACAAGCACAAGGAACTGAGTTCGATCCCCGGTACCAAAAAAAAAAAAAGAACCTAGCAGGGTAGACAGGGGACTTAGCTCAGTGGCGCCACCACCTGCCTTACAAGCACAAGGTCCCAAGTTTGATCCCTGGTACCAAAAAAAAAAGAATCTAGCAGGGAGCCCCAGTGCTACTTTACTTCACTTTTCCAGAAGAACAAAAACTAGCACTTGCCTTTTTCAAATCAAAGGGGTTCTCCACTGCGTCTCGTGAAGCAATGTTTCTCTCATTAAAAATATTTTCTTTATATCTATATGTTTCTATATGATATATATGATTTATATATGTGTGTGTATGATCCATGACCTTATATATATGTCTGTATATTTTAGATCTATGACTATAGACATAGATGTCTTAGATCTATACCCTCAGTTCACATCTGAAGAGGTTTCGCCAATTCATCTTGGTTCTTTATATTTGGGTTGGCGATGTTTTATTCTAACAGAGTGCTAATTCTATTCATGGATGACTGTTTCTATTGATGCTTTTTCTATTCTTTTCAAATGCAACTTCCCATCCTTCTAATGGCAGCAGTAAACAGACCCAGTGTACCCAGAGAGGAAGGCCTGCAGGGCAGGCATTGGGAGGTTGGGGAGCACTTCTGGGGTTGCTCAGTGCACAGCCACCTGGTGTACGACCCAGAAGAGCCCAAGGCACAGAGGGAGAGGGAGAGGGCCCAGGAGAGGAGACCACCACCAACATTGCAGGGACCAGTACCGGGACAGGAGGTGACCACTGACCCATGTCTTCCCAGGTGGATGTGGTTTCCAGAAGAGAGACGGAGAGAAGGATATTCTGACTGCAGAAAAGGAAGAGAACTGGCAGGAAGCAGGGTGTGTCCAGCAGAGCAACTGGCTCAATCCAGCCGGAATGCAGTATATTTACGGGACTCGGTGAGAGAAGCGTCAGGAAAGGCAGGAAAAACAGGCTCAGGCTGCAGCTGACCTACCAGTGGGCTCAAGCAGAGTGAGCTCAGCCGGGAGCACGGAGGTTGGTGCCTCATCAGTTGCTTGGTACCATGTTTACCAAGCAGGGGTGGGAGAAACGTGATTAGCCACCTGGAGCCAGAACTTCATAGCTCCCAGCCAAGTCCTGCAAGAGAAGTGCTGGCTCTTCAAGCTGGGGGAGGATCCATCCCATAAGGCCTCTCTTGTGGAGACAAAGCCCCAGGCTACTGGTTTCTTCTGATCAGAAAACCATTGCCCCTCAACCTAACCCCATGCTCACCAATCACTTTTACAGTGATTCTTCATTTCTGTGAAACAAAACCCAAACTCCATAGCAAGCCGATGAGGCCATGTGCACAGGTCTACACCACCCCCTGTCCGCTTCCGCGTCTTTTCATCTCACCTGTAGGGTAGGGAACCATTGAAGAGATGAAGGCGTCGGAACCTTGCAGTTTACCTGGCCTCCAAGTTCTGGGCTGAGCTATTCCAGCTGAGAGGAGGCTAACCTGGGAGCCACAGTGCACAGGGCCACAGACAGTGCTGGAAGCAGATCAGAATTAATCCGGCCAACACGTCCAGCCACAGGGCTGCACAGAGACAGGGCCCAAATACAGAGCCAGAGTTATGCAGGCAGACAGGCTTATGTGATGTCACACGTGTCAGGTGGGTCCTGGAGAAATTCCAAGGTTCCGGAACACTGTCCCAAGGACAATGAGCTTATCAATCAGCTCAGAGGGATGGTGGGAATTGCCAGTGGATTCATGTCTGTGACGTCATCTAGGGTACAGGGAAAACCTATTGCAGAAAGCGATTCTTTTCGAGATGGTCCCCTCCCTGCCACACACATCTTTCCTCACCTGCTTGTAGAGTGTTCCTTCCACCTTTCCATTCCATACTTCAATGTAACATTTTTGAAGTTTTCTTTGCCTGACTTTCTCTGGAATAAAGAGATTTTCCTTCCTAAGTTTACAAAGTCCTTCATATATAATCGTATACCCAAAGTGACCACCTTTGCCAAGCTAGAAATTGGTGCATATGTGTTGTCAAGTACGGGGGAGATTGCTTAGGAAAAGCAGCTCCATGAGCTACCATAAAGCGTGTATCATGACATATGCTATCTTGATGTGACAGGTAATCTTGATCGTCAACTTGATCGGATTGAGAATGCCTAGGAAATTAGTAAATCATACTTCTGGGTGTGTCTGTGACAGTGTTTCTAGAGATGATTGGCACCATGGGATAGCCATGATGCTGGGTGGCACCATCATGTAGGATGGGAGCCCGGATGGAACAAAAGTAGCAGCAGGAACTCCATTCACTGAGGCTCCTGCTCTCTGCTTCCTAGTGCCGTGAGGTGAGCAGCTATGACGGTTCTGCCTCAGCGATGGAGTTGCCCGACTGTGAAACGTAACTCGAGGTGAAAGAAGTCTTTCCGCCTTTGGATTGTTGTTCGGGTATTTAGTCACAGTGACAGAAAGCTGACAAACATGTTTGCTTTCACGTCTCTCTCCCTGATTCGGTTGCAAGCTTCTAGAGAACGGGAACCACGTCTTAGCCCCTTTGTAGCTGCTCCTTCATCAGCAACAAGCTCAGCCTGGACACCTCTTGGCTTCCCAGATGATAAATATTTAAGGAAAAGTAACTATCAGGTCTTTTCAACAGAAATAAACATAGATTATGCTATTTCCTAGTGTGTGTTTCATACTATACCTAAAAAATAAAGCATCTCTTTTTAACTAAAAGTAATTCTTTTCAAATCTGTTTTATTAGTGTTTTAAGCAGATTTCCTTCCTTTGCTAAGGATTTGATGCTCTTCCATTATTTTATTTCTTTCCTGAACAGAAGTCAAAGTGCACAATCGCACCCTTGTGCCAACCTCTGCCTCTCACAGAATAGATTCATCTTCTGCTAACCAGCAGCTCCCTTTCAAGAGGCAGAACTGGGAGGGGAGAAGGAACTAAGATGAAAGAGCCAAGTCACTTTAGAGAGGAACAAAGGTCACAGATCTAGAGATGAAGCTCAGTGTGAGCCTCAAATATGAGAAGGAAGAGAAAAAGGAACAGCAGGGGTTGACAGCACGATGAAGGTAACAAGCAGTGAAATGAGCAGACCTGGTTGAAGGGAACAGGTCAGAAATTTATATCACACCCAGCTGAACGTCCTCTCTTCTGGGTATTTGATGCATGGCCAGGGAGGGCTGTGGCCACACCAGGGAGCTCCACGGGACTGGACCGCCCGTCCCAGTGCACCTGGCGTCATCCGCAGGCTTCCTTCCCCTTGCAGAGCCCACAGGATGCATCCGGTAGTGAACTGCTAATTACTGCTCTGCTGTCTGCCTGTTGGAACTCAGTCTGGGCTCCTGATTCTGCTTTAATGATTCGAGGAACCAAGTTCTGGATACCACTGTATAAGTTAAGATCCAGGCCAGCAGCTGGAACGAAGGACAAAACAGTGGTGAAAATAAGAGCGGTTTGTGTCTCTCTGGAGCACTTTGAGTGAAGAGCCCAGGGTGGCCACGGAGGGCCCCTGAGGCAGGGACCGGGCCATGCCGTCTGGGCTGCTCTTCCTCCTCGACACAGCCTCGTCTCGGGGCTGCTACCCTGGCTCCCTGAACCAAACTCACCTTCCCCAGGCAGGCGGATGAGAGGGAGCACCGGAGGGCCTACCCCTTGGTCTGGAGGACCAAGCCAGAGGTTGTGGACATCATTCTGCTGACACCCATCCCATGCTCCGAGCCCATTCTCCGTCCTGCTCACCTCCGAGGGCAGAAGCTGGTCCTCGGCAGAGGGGCCACAGGAAGTGAGAAGAGGTAACAAGGGGCTCGGCCACTGCCTCGAAGGTTCTCCCTGGGTCCCTCACTGCCGAGGGCGGGAGAGGAGGCCAGGATAGAGGAGGGGAGCTCTGGCTGGGCGGGCCTGACGTTCCCGAAGCTCCTCTGTAGACCAGAAATACAGGGAGGTGAACACATTTGCAGAAAGGCTGAATTAAAGAAAGAGCGCTTGCTGCACCAGCAGCCTCAGGCACCCTCAGAGCACCACTAAACTTTACATTTTTTCTGAGAGGGCAATAGGTGACCTGGAGGCATTTTTCCTGTAGCTCATGTTCTGCTGCAGACAGAGAGGTGTCCTAGCGAGCACGAGCACACGGCCGCAACTCTCTTTACCCAGGGCCCCCGTTTCACCCCTGCTCTTCCCGAGTCCAGTCTTGCCTTGGACTTATGCTCCTGACAGCAGGCTGCCCGCCAGCGCTGCCTCAGGCTCAGTGCTGCCCCTCTGCCTCGCCCTGCTCTCCTCACCTGTGCCTCCCCCCACCCCCTCCATCGCAGGACGTACAGAACCTCAAGTAGCTTCTCACATCCCCATGTGAATCTGGTCCTGAGTCCAGGAGTCTCACTCTGAGGCCACTGTTCCTGTCTGCATTTGCCTGCCCTCCTGAAAGTGGAACTCGGAAATGCAGTGCAGATGTGGGTCTCCCTGTCCCTGAAGAATGGCCAGTGAGCCAGAGGAAGGGAGATTTCTGAACTTCCTGTTTTCTTAAGATCAAACAGTTGATTAAGTTTCCAGTTCTTTTTCTGTTATTGCATCATCAGCAAAGCAATAAACATTAATTGACTGCTTACTGAAGCATAATGATAGGCTTTGAAGAGAATAAAAATATTTACAAAAGAAAAGCTCAGGACTACAGGAAATTGTGGTCTAGATGAGAAAATTAAATTAAATTGATGTCATACTGACACTTGTGTTCCTGCAATGAAAAAGTCAAATCAAAAGACAATCCCTGCTTCTACCTCAGAGCCTTCAATCAATATCTTAGCACCTTCCTTGTAAGCACAAATGATCATTATTCATTTGAGGAAAATTCTGAATGCAAAAGATAGAAACAAAGAGGTAAAGTAACAAGGAGATGAAGTAACCATATAGAAACTCTGAAGAGAACAGAGAGAAATGTCAAAAACTATTTAAAAAGAAAGAAAAAAGATCACATTCCTAAAACAAGAGCACAACGTTATGAAAAGAAAAGAATACCATCAAGGATTCTTGAAAAGTAAGTCACGAGTTTCATTTTCCCCAAAAATCCAACGCATGGAATGATTGTATGACATAAATAAAGAAACTGTAAAACAGATTAGAAAAGATAAAAGGGAAAAAATAAAAATAGGAGGGAAAGAAAACTAATACCAGAAGTCACTAAGAGAAAATCAAGGAAATGAAAGAGAAATCAAAAGAAGAAATCAAAGAAATAATTCAAGAAAATTCCTAAACCAGACCTTACCAAGTACTCATCAAAGCAAAAAGGAAAAAAAAAAAAAGACACAGAAAGGTACATTATTGTGAAGTTTCCCGATACTAGGTTAAAATCCTTCAAAAAGTTAAACAGACGTGCTACTTCCAAAGCAGGGATCAGAAGAGAGCAAGCTTCTCAAGCCAACACTGGCAGTTAAGCCGGTGGGGCACGGGACACTTTTCAATAAACGGCACTGGAAAAGCCAGACATGCACATGCCGCAGAACGAATCTAGACCCTTTCTTTATACCATGTAGCAAAATTAACCCAAAGTGGATCAAAGACCTACACGTAAGAGCTAAAACTAAAGCTCTGAAAAGAAAATTTAGAGGACGATTTTCATGGTGTTGGAGTTTGCAGTGTTGTTATAGGAATGATACCAAAAGCACAGGCAACAAATGAAAAAATAAATCAATTAGACTTCAAATTAAAAACCGATGATACCATGTAGAGAGTAAGACAGCACGTAGAATAGCAGGCAATGTTTGCAAAGTGCATGTCGGACGTGAGATGGATGTGAGATGTGAGATGAATCCTCCGGTTATGTAAGGAATGCCCACAACTCGACAAGGCTAACCTGGCTTAGAACAGGCAGTGGGCTCAGGTAGACGTCTCTCCACAAGAGTCACATGCAGCCAGTCAGCTCTTCAGAGTCCGTGTCCCTTGTCACGTCACAATGAGATGCCACTCTAGACCCATTAGATTGGCTACTATTGAAAAAGAAAGGGGCTGGGGATCTAGCTCAGTGGTTCCACCGCTTGCCTTGCAAGTGCAAGGACCCAAGTTCAATCCCTGACACCAAAAAAGAAAGAAAGATAGAAAGATAGAAAGGTAAGAAAGAAACAAAGAAAGAAAGAAACAAAGAAAGAAAAGAAAGAGAGAGAGAGAAAGAAAATCACTGAAATTATAGCGAAGACGGAACCTTAGCGCCTTGCTAGTGGGAATGTAAACGTGGGCACCCAATGTGGAAACCAGTTTGGCAGTGGCTCCAACAGTTAAACATAGAATCGCCATGTGATTCAGCTATTCTACTTTTAGGTATATTCCCAAAAGACTTAAAAGCCAGAACTCAGACACTTCTACACCCATGTTCATGGCAGCATTACTCACAATAGCCGAAATAGGGAAGTCACCCAAGTGTCTATAAGCAGATGAATGGTAGACGAAATGTGATATCTGTACACCATGGAGTATTTCTCAGCCTTAGCAGTGAAACTGATCTACGCTACGATGTGGGTGAACCTTGAAACATGCTGAGTGAACTAGGTCAGACATAAAAGGACAAATAATGCATGGCTCCCCTAATGCGAGGCATCTAGAATGGCAGATTCAGAGACACAGAAAGGACTGTGGTTACTGGCTTCTGAAGGGAGGGAAGTAGAGGATTATTGCATAACAGGAACAGAGGTTTTATTTGGGGGGATGGAAGTGCTCTGGAGACAGATAATGGTGACAGTCACACAGCAATGAGAATAGACCAAACCGTACAATTAAAACGGTCAGTTTCATGTTGTGTATGAACAAAAAAATACAAAAAAAGGAAAAAATGCCTTCAAATTTCTAAAAGCCAATAATGGTCAAATAATGTTTTATCATTCAAGTATTTTATCATTCAAATCAAATTACATTCAAGGATGAACATGGAAAGGTTTTAAAAAATCTACCTCCCATGAGCCTTTTGCTGGGAAACTTTAACATGAGGGAAGCAATGAGGGCAACCAGTTTAATGCAGTTTTAAGCTCAGCAGCAGCGTGAATACACACAGAAAGACAAGCACAAGGCGAGTCATGAGGCAGAAAAGGACCATCGGCAGCAAAGACCTACTGAGATACACAAAATAACAAAACGATACAAAAAGGAATATATTGTTTTTCAAGGTAAGAACAAAACAAAAATCAAGAAAATCTCTCAGAACAAGAAGAAGAACAATGTTTTTAAAAAGCTGATCAGGGCCAGGGATTTAGCTCAGTGGTTCCGCCAAAGCACAAGGAACCGAGTTCGATTCCCAGTACCAAAAAAAAAACCATAAAAAAGCTGATCAAACAAATGAGTCTTAGGACAAAAACAAAGAAAAATGAGAAGGAAATCCTGAAGGACAAGTAAAATTAAATTTTCAAAAGTGGAGCAAAGCGTGTTTCTTTGGCAGGAAATGGCTCATGACAAGATTGACTCCTTTATGTGAAACTTCAGGACACCAAAAATAAAAGTATTAAAACTTTCAGAAATAAAGCCACCTAGAAAAGAATAAGAATTAATCAGCCATCGAGTTTCTCCAGCAGCACTGGATGTTCAAATATTTGTCTTCAAATAGTTTCCAACTGAGAGTTCTGTACACGGCACTGTACCAAGTAAGCAAGTCTTTGGGCAGAAACCTCGTCTCTTCTTAGGAAGAAAAAGGAAAATTCCTTAGACCAATTAAGTTTATGAGAGTTCATCTGAGCAAAGAAAAACAAAACACAATTCACGTTCCCAACATGAAAGCACGTTCTGAGAACTCCGGCCACACTCACAGAGGAGCGGAAGGGAGGTGGACAGAGCCGTATGACTGGCTGCAGCCTCACCCATGGAGCAGGCCAGTTGCTGCTGCTCAGTTATGAGACAGGGCTTCCTGCAACCAGCCCAAGCTCCGGCACTGTTCCTGAGCTCCGCATTGGTTATTTGGGCCCAGAGCGGGAACCAAGTTCAAATCAGTGGCCTCTTACGCTTTTATTGAACAGAAACTACTTGATGATACACAGCAAATATCAGGGAAAACCAAAAAAGACCTGACACGGAATCCAAAGCCCCCACCTCAGAAGAGAAGAGAAGAATTCTCAGACCCAAGCTGGGTAGTTCGCCTAAACCAGACCAAGGACTCAAGGAGGAGGCTGGACTCGGCAAAAGTCACTACAGAGTGGATAAAACGAGTAAAGATTGGGAAAACTGGAAGAAATGATCCATTATGAGAATACAGAATAGAAAATTAGCAACTCCAGAAAAACAGAAAGCTATCCAAGAACGACAGAGATCAAATATTACACAAACAACATCTTGAGATGTTCGGTAACCAATGCACCCTAAAAAGGAATATCCCTTTGACCATGAAGCCAGGAATGTTTCATTTTAATTAGCCCGTGGATCTTTCCACTGAACACCCAACAAAGAAAGTAACCCTGGCCCTCAGCATAGCACAGAACAATCAAAATAACACAAAGCATGAACTGATTTTTAACTTTTAGAGTCAACTCTGAGCTCAGCACAGAGGAATCTGTCATTTAGAAGTGAATGCAAATGTTAATTTCAACACAGTGTAAAAGTGTAAAAATGGAAACATTTTCCCAGAATGTGGGATGAAAGGGGTAGAGGAAAAAAAAATAGAAAAGATAAAGAAAGTACCTTCAGTTTTTGAAACAGAAAATCAGATGATTTTCAGACAAAGCTGACATAACAAGAAATAGAGATCTTAGAATATTAAAGATTAAAGTTTCAAGGTAACTTAATACCAGAACTAAAACTACAACAGACTTTTGAAGAAAGGAGACCAGAGAAACAGTGTAATGTGATAAGACAAATGTCCTGTGTTCCTATCAAGGATTCATCAGATATAATCCATAGATAGTCAGATATGGCATGTAGAGAAGTAAAGGGCACAGCTGTGTCACTTGATCATTGGGACACCTGCTGAGGAAAGCATTATGAGGTGACTTCTGTCAACATGTGGAAGTCATGGGCGTGCATGTACAAACCTGAATGGTAGCGCCCGCACCTACTGGGCTACGTGGGCTGTGTGTGTACTTGTGTTATATATATATATATATATATGTAATAAGCATGCATATATATAAGGCATATTTATGTATATATACTATAACCTATGGCTTGTAGGACCATGGTGAAATGGAATAAGTAACACAAGACTGAGCACAAGACAAAATGACGTATTGAGAGACGCGGTAATCACGGCATGTATGAGGCTGCCAGGTAACGGGTCAGACTGTTTGACAGTGAACTTCTATGGTTTGCGTAGAAGCAGCACCTCAGTCAATAGCACAGCAGCCGGGAGGCCAGGCAGCCTCTCCACGGACGCCCACCGTGTTGCACCGTGACGTCGGCCTGGCTCCGCTGTGTTCGGAGGGCCGCTGTCGCACATAGGGTCCGAGGCTGAGCCCGTGTCCTCTCGCGAGGCGCGGCTGCAAGACGCATTGCTCAGACCTTGGCTGCGCCTGGAACACGGGCCCAAGGCCTCGCGTCTGGGGACCGGGTGTGCTGCGGAGGGTAGGAGGCGGGAGGAGCGCTTGTCACCATGAGCTGCTGAGGGAGCAGCCTGGCCCCTCCGAGGCCCCCATCGGGAAGCCCGCGGCTGAGCTTCACTGTCGCCCGAGCCACTTCACTCAGGTGGCCTCAGCTGACCTAGCCAGTCAGGAAGCCTCGCTTCTGTGGGTGTGGAATGGCCCGGGGCAGACATGATGACCCAAGCCCAACACCGGCCACCTTCCCTCGAGAGCCCGGCTGCTTCCTCCAGACCGGCCTGTGGCCTGGCTCCCTTCTGACCGAGCCTGCAGGTCCGTTTCCCTTGGCTTGGCATCAGGGTCTGAGCACCCTGGAAGCCCAGAGCTGAGGGAGATCTGTTCGACCTGCCCCACACCGGGTTCCCGGGGCACGCTGCTCACACAACCAGGTGGAGGCCAAGGGATGAGAGGGCCCAAGGGAGCAAACATTCGAGGGGCCTCAGAAAATTAAAAACAGAACTTCCATATGATCCAACACTCCCGATGGTGGGCATTTATCCAAAGAAACTATCTTGAAAAGATGTCTCCTCTCCACATCACTGCAGAACTATTCACAACAGCAAGACATGAAAATGACATAAATGACCCTCAGCAGGTAAATGACAAAGAAAATGTGGTGTGTACAGACAATGGAATATTACTCAGCCTTGAAAAAGAGGAAAATCGCACTATATATGACATCGTATGGACTAACCTTTCGGACATTCGGCTAAGAGAAATCAGACAGTTATAGAAAGACAAATCTGCGTAACTCCACTTAAATGAAGGATTTAAATAGTGAAATTAATAGAGTCAAAGAGTGCAACATGGTTGTCAAAGACTGGGGAAGTGGTAAATTACCAATCAATGGGCATGAAGTTTTAGTCTAGAAGATGAATAAATTGTGGAGATTTTCTACACAGCAGTGCAACTATAGTCAACATTATTGTATTATAAACTTTAAAATTTGTTAAGATAGTAGATCTCAAGACTTACCAAAATAAATTTTTTGTTTTTTTTCTTTGAAACAAGGCCTCATATGTAGCCCAGGGCAGCCTCTTGATGCTACTGTCTCTGCCTCCCAAGTGCCTACCCTCAGGCCCAGCTAAAATAAAAATTTTGTTTTAATGGTATGCCATTTATTCATTTTTTTAAAAATCTATTGAATAATAAAAGACATAGGTGGAGGAAATAATACTGAAGTAAGAAAAGAATATTTGTCGAGCAGTTACTAAGTTCGTCCCTGTATTACATGCTTCACATATATTATCTTAGCTCATCCCTTGCAATCAAGCCAGTTAGTTTTCTTCCACTTCATTTCAGAGCTGAAGGACACAAGACTTAACCGTAAAACACATAGCCAGGAAATAAGGCCGGGTTCAAGCCTGCTGTGTCTCTCTCTAAGCCATGCTCTAACCACTGTGCGCTACTGCCCGGCAGCGAACACCAGAGCCCTGTGACTCAGGACCCCTCCTCCTGGTGGTCTGGAGCCCCCAGGGGGGCCAGACCTCCCAGTCCCAGCTCTGATTCACTCCCCCGCCTTTCCCTGTAGCACTCAGGACCCCACTGCTCCCTGTGAGCCTGACTGACCCAACCCACTCATTAACCCTGCAAAATGTCACCATCAGGAAATCCTTTGTCTAGCACGAGCCCTTCTCACCCGAGCTGAAGCTCATTTCCTCTCGTTCTTCAAAACAGAGATGAAAAAGAACCAGGAAGCCAGCATCCAACTACTGTACAGCAATCCTCTCTCTCTCTGTCTCTCTCTCTCTCTCTCTCTCTCTCTCCCTGCAGTGTCTTTTCTAAGTTTTCTGTTATCATAACGTCCCCTTTCCAATCCTGAATACACCTTGGTATCCTCCAACACCCTACGAGAAGTTGCTGTCGTTTTATTTGGAGACGTCCTCCTCCAAAATCCTCATTTTAGACTTTGAACCTCAAGTGGTTTTTGTGACAAGGACTTAAAAGCAAAGATTAGTCACCTGAGCCTGCAGAAGTCCAGGGCTTAAATAAAACAGGACAGATGCTGGACGCCTCTACCTGCGTGTCTGTTGGCTTCCTTTTGCTACCTTAAACTTCGGGTCAGAGTCCTGCCCAGCACTGTCCAGGGATGTGTTAATCATTCAAGGAGTGTTTGCTTAAAAGCTGCTAATACAAGGTTGATGAGTCCTAAATTTTCCTAATTCTCCTTTTCCTCTTTGGGGGCTATTGACTTACTGCACTAAAGACTGGTCCTCACCCTGTCCGTGCTGGCATGGAAATGGTTGACCACATTCCTGAAAAAGACACTAGAAACTAAGTTCTTTTGCCCCAATAAAGACTTTCATCCCAAAACTCCTACTTGCCCCCCACGAGGTGGACACAGTTACAGAAGAAGCGACCTCCCCTTTCCCCATAGGAATGACGTGGTGGCTTCACAGTGGGGACTTGCAGGAGGGCCCGACTGCTGATGCACTTCATTCCATCTTGGCCCTCTGTGTCAGTTTGTCTTTGGATTCCAGGAACAAGTCTGATCGATAAACACCACGTGACAGGGGCCACAACTACCCGGGCAGCGGCCACTTCCTACAGCAGACAAGCGTCCCCCGACCAGTGCTGAGATACCAGGATCTCAGATGTGCCAACCCCAGCCCTTGCCTTGCTTCCTTCTCTGGCAATCCCAAGACTCTTGCCAGTTCCTGGAAGACAGGGCAGAGGGCTCTGGTGCCCCTGTTCCTGCCCAGTATGATCACTGGAAATGGATTCCTTTCCTCCTTCACCATTTTTTCAAACTGGTCTTTCAGAGTGAGGGGCGACCTGGTCTTTTGGGACCACTCCCTTCAGAGTCAAGACTGTGGCCTGGGATTCCGGAACTTTTTTTCCTTTTAAAGACATTCTTGATTAATTTATCAAAGTTAGCATTTCTAATGCATCTCCAAAGCACTTCCTTTTCAGCAAGAGACTTCATTAAGCACTAATAGCAAAAGTAAAAGCAATCATTAACAGGTGAAAAAGAGACTGACTCATGTGTTCAGATCTCTAGCAGACGCTGTCATAATATCTGAAAAAGCTGAAATGAATTGAGAATTTCCTCTCCATCTGGGGTCAGTTAAAACCAGGAATGCTAACATTTCTGGTTAAGAAGGTCATCGCATGCTCGCAGATGACCTTCTACATTCTCGGTGACAATGAGCTGGGATTCTCGAGTCTACTCTTCCCCAGGAGATTGCTCCTGCTGCTGTTACTCTGGAAGCTCAGCCTTCACAGTTCCCGCTGCCTGGTGACACCTTAGGAAGGCTCTGAGGAGCCTCAGGCTACCAGGAGCCCCAGCTCCTCCAAGGAGACCTGGCTTGGTCTTCTGTAGCTTTCATTCAGCTAAGCTTTTTCTGCTCTCCTTAAACCCTGAAGACCAAGTTTCCCTGGTTTTCCATCTGTGGGTGGAGTCCTTTCTGCGATTTCCTCAGCATCCAGTTTTTCCTTTGTTTTCAGTGGATTGACTCAGATGTGTGTCTAGGTAACCCTTGGTACATTTTGTTTTCTTTTTCTGCACTCTGGGCGGTACTGTCAGAGGCAGACTTACAGTGAAGTCATCAAACATAAGCTTCCAAGTTTCAGGGAGGGACGGAGGGGCCCTCACATTGTCTGCATGCATTTGAGTCATTTTTCTCAGAGAACAACCCTCCTGCACCGATGCCATTAGCTTTACCCCTGCCCAGTCTGTATCCATCCTTGAGTATTATGCTGCACACTAAAGACAAAGAGGGAGTCCCTGGGAGGGGGTCGCTTGCCCTGCACCACCAGAATTGGACTGGAACATGTGATAAGAGGGCCAGATGGGGTGGGGGTTACCCTAAGAAAATTCCAGTTTAACACGGGAAGGGCACCATGCCCAGGAGTCCCGGTCCCCACCTGGATGACAGCTATATGAGATGACACCCTCAGCACACAGCACCGCCCAAAGGTCCTTCCTACAGGACAATCATGAGCTGACTGAGGCAGAACAAAATACAGCAAGAGAGTGGGGCCCGCAGCCAGCAGGAGAGCCCCAGGCCTGGCGGGGTAAAGCGTAACTCAGCCTTCTACCGGGTCACCACAGTGGGCAAGGCCCCCAAGTTCCAATAGGTGCCTAAGCATAGCATGTGCTCTGCCCCCCAATTGCTACCTGAAAAGAACAGCTTTCATCTGTCCCAGGTATTGGGAAACTGGATAAAATTAGATTATGGGAAAAAGTTGCATTCTTTAGAAGAAAAGTCCAAACATGGTGATGTCAAGGCCGTCGTTGGAGAGTGTGAAACACAGCCAGACTGCAGAGCTTGGGCTATTGATGTGACTTTCTATTCATTGTCTCTTCTGTAACACTATGGGAAGAGTGCTCACTATGGAGAGGCCTTCAGTTGTTCTGCGGAGTGCATTTTTCCCAACTCCTGACTCCAGCTAGCCAGAAAACCTACGTAATGTAACTCGGGGACTCTTAACATGTGATTCTTCACAACTGACGATGGTGAGCCGTGCTAAGAAGGGAGACAATGCTGAGCATCCCAAATCAAGGCCATGTGCACACTTCTCTCTACCCACCCTCATGCCTTCTCCCCGCAAAGACACCTGCAAAGGACTCTGAACCACTTATTCAGCTTCTTGCCTGCAATCTTCATTGCCAGCTCCACACTAGTCACTGCAAGGCTATTAGATTGTGATAGTATTTATTTTAAACTGCCAGTGAACATATTATTTGAGTCTCTATCAAAGGCACTGCAATTTTTTTTTTCCTATCTGTTCCTAACCATGCTTTGTTTAGTTTGCCTTCTCATCTCTGGAAACAATTCTTGAGAAATAAAGAAGCAACCAACAGAACACACGGAGAAGAAGTAATGAGGAAAATATGTTAACAAAAAGGGGACTGCATCTTAAAGGTCGAGGCTGTTTGTAAGCAGAGACTACTGATTGAGTTCTGGCTGTTCGAGCAATGTGGACAGACATTCACTCGTCCTGCAGATGTGCCAAAATATTGCTTAAGTAAATACTGACTTTGGCGGACATAGCCCAACACTCCCTGGCTCTTCTGACCCGTGAGACACTCACTCTGGATGTGTGTGAAGGTGGAAGAGCACAGAAGCAAACAGATGTCGCACTGTGAGGGAGGAAGTCGGGTGACAGCCCACAGCAGCAGAACTGTCCCCAGTGCCACAGCCCCACAGCAAGGGCAGCATTTAGAAGACATGGATTCCCGCTCAGGGTTCTGATCCCAAAAGTTTGGTAGATTTTCCCAGAATCTGCGTATTTTTAAATTCCCAGGTGATGTGGATGTAAAAGCAGGTTGGGGCTGGCAGCTGCAGAGGTTCCTGGTGCTGTCACAACTTCAGCCCAGCATCTAAATCAGGAGGCTGTGGGGCCCAGAGACAGAACAAGACATGAGGGTCCTTCAAGGTTATGGTTGGAGCACTTGGTCCCCGTGTCCATTTCTTGCATAAATAGTGGAATTTATCCTGCAGGCTGCCAATCTGGCACCCATTTGGAACATTAAATTCACTTAATAGATCGGAATGGGAGTTGTTGTTTTTTTTAATAAAAACATCACTGTAGTTAGGGTAAACTTCAATTAACGGTGCCCATAGCTCCTTATTGTAAACAGCTGTGACTGCTCAAATAGTAACAATAGCACATAAACACACCTTGTATCTTCAACCTCAGAGAGCTAAAGGTAGTTTTGAAAAAGTCAATCAATTATACTCATCAGCTGGAGTCGGAATAATCCATAAGCCACCAAGGTTGGCTGGACACAGGTTTCAGCACAGGTTCTCGCTCTTCGCAGCTGTGGCCATGGACACAACTCACGCATCCCTGAGCTCACCAGTCTGCCGCGCAGAGTGGAGGCAGAGCAGTACCTCCAGCACAGGGTCCGGGTGAAGGCAGTAGTGCGATACAGGTGAAGCCTGTTGCCTGCCGCATGCCAATCAAAAGTATCAGCTGCTATTATTCTTACTCTATGGGCGCACAGCCCCTATCAATATGTCACGACAGGATGGAGGTGGGTCAGCGGGGTTCATTCTCACCACCTGGCATCTCCACGCCGTCTCTGAGAATTTAGGGAACAGCAAGCGGACAGGTGCTCCTCACTGCTGAGTTCATAGAAGGTGGCTTAGAAGCGACTCACAGCAGAGCAGGACAGACAGTTCTCCCTGAGCAGAACAAGGCTGAGGAGAACGTGTCCCAGGAGAGTCAAGGTTGGGTCCGTAGGAGGAACATCAATTCCTGTAGCTCAAAAGGAGGAGCCTGGGAAGAATTGGCCTTCACGGTGGTGTCTGGTTTCCATCATCTTAAGGCCCCCAGCTGCCGTCTGGGGAAGCCCCCCTTCCCTCAACCGGGCCCCAGATCCTGGGCTGGGAGGCTCTCTATCCTCTGCCACTGACCCTGGGAATGAAGAGCCTGACGTGTACAAGCCTGCGGAGAGGACTTGAACTCGCTGCTTGCTGTTGGGAGGGCATCCTAGGGGCCGCCAGGCCCCTGGAGGAGGGCACAGGTGGGAGGGCGAGGCCTCGGGAACCGGAGAAGGGCCCAGGGCGCCCTGGACGTGCCTGGGAGGCGTGAAGGCAGCCTCCGAGGCCCTGAGCCCGTGTGACCGCAGGGACCGAGGCACAGCCCGGAGGGACGGCGAAGTCCTCCTCCGGCCTCGCCCCACTCTGGACGCCCCGCATGGCTCCCGAAGTCCTCCGGGCACACGTTTCACGCCTCACCGACGCAGACGTGGGGAGCCGTGCGTCCTGCGGCTGCCCGTGGGTGCGACAGGCGGAGAAGGGTGTCCCCCCCTGCTGCTCCACGCTCCCGGGGCCACCTCCCCCTCCGAGGACAGGGGCGGAGGCGGCTGCGTGGACGGGGAGGGAGGCTCCCTTCCGCCGGAGCGCCTCGGCTGCTGCGTGAAGGGTGCCGGAGACCCGCAGGCAGCGCAAACGTGGCGTCCAAGCCCGTCCAGGAGTCACAGAGGCACACCTCTGAACACACGTCCGGAGGCGTTTACAAACTTCCCATTTCAGGAAAGCTTTCAAGTACCTAGCCGCCGGCTGGCACGGCTCACATTTCAGTT